AATTTCAGAAAGTGTATCTTAAAGGCATGCCCCAGGATCGCACTGGTGTGGCTCTTGCACACGAATGTGAATGTATCGGTGCCAAGTGGGCCGGCAGTGAAGAAAAAAGGAAAAGAATCCGTCGAAAACGCTCAGGTTGAGGGCTCACTCACCTTCCTAATTGGCTGTGCTAAAGGAACGAGAGACTAAGCGCGAAGAGGAGAGTATGGGGCGAGAGAGCGCATCAGATGAGAGAGCACCAGACAACGGCCTGATAAGAGAGCTCGTTCGCTGCAGCTCGAGCAGCTTACTTTGCAAGCCCAAAGCGTTCTTGTCGGTCGAATTCCGTGCACGTGAACGCCACATTTGTGATTGTCCCCTAGGGTTCTATACTTCTGACCGAAGAGAAGAGTTATAAAAAACCTCTGCCTGGGTTGTGCCTTTAAGCTACGACTACAACCCTGATAGTACAAACTTCATTTCCATAGCCTTTTCTTCTTGCAACAGTCTCCATTAAATGTCGGGCTTGCCTCCTGATCCTTCTTGACTCTCCTGTGATTCCTTTGGAAATCAAAACTTTTTGTTTGCAAAAAAAGACATTCCCGCAGTTCGTCTTTTTTGTTTTCCTACCCCTCTTTACGCCGTTATATTCTCCTAGATCCCGAACAGGATCCGTCTTCTTTATATTAACATGCAGCCTTTCAGCAAACATCGGAGCTTAATATATTGCGACTTTTAGCTTGTCACCCATAACTGTCACCAATCATTCTCCGTCCCAAGGGAAGAAACGAGCACCTTCTTAGTCAGATCCCAGTGGCAACGCTGCCTGGGTACGAACTCTGAAATACGAAGTTATACGAGTGAACCTCTTGTGCTTCTTAAATCGCCATCAAGTATCTATTTCAACTTTCAGAGAAAGGGTGTCCTTACCAATGTGCGCGAGGAGGAGGTGTTTAAGCCTCAAAAATTCTTGCAAATTGGTTAGTTCTGCTACGCTCCATCTTATATTAGATTAGTGTTCACGCATATCTTTAATTTACAGAAGACGAGGAGACTGTGGCTGGAGCGAAGTTTTCTTGCTTGGGCATTGATAAGAAACCAGATCGTGGAATTGTAACATCGACCCCAGCTTACCAAATGCACCTAATCCCTCCCTACTCAGAAGGTTTTAGAACTGTAAGAATTAGTCGTCACCTCGTTTAAATTCAGGACACACCTGCTAGGTGATGAGACGCAGCGGCTGGACTACCTGGAAAAAGGTCAAAAGTTAACCAATTAAAAACAATTCAATTCCAGAAAAATGCAGTAAAACGAGAAAAACTCTCACAACAATTAAAACTCACTGTGCAATTCATAGTGATATCCATGGGGACAACGAGAAGATCGTCATTCTCTTCCATTTGTTGGTCTGCAATCATCGCTGCTCTCAGTTCTTCAATTGAGGGAGCGAGATAGCCAGCTTCGGGACGATCCACTAGTTCGAACCGTAGTTTTGTACGTGCTAGAAAATGCAATATCGTCTCATTGTTTGGCACGAGGCTAACAGAAGCATGAAGCGACTAACTATTTTGGCCGAAAGTTGGGTTTGCAGGACCATGGGCTGCTTTGAGGTTATCCTTAGCATGCGCCTCAAAAGCTGCTAAAGATGATCGACGTCGATCTGTAAGAAAACATTTGAACGTTCGTCGGAATGTTCGAAAACAAGCTGAATCTCGCACTTCGTTTCGTCTTAGGATCGCCAACTTTCTGTATTTTGAACACAGCCATAGTTTCCTCGTCGTCGTTGAATATATCGCTATTGGGGAAGTACTGGTCAGCAAGGTCCCTGTAATGTTTGTGCTATTGAGGAAGACTGAATGTATACACAAGAGTACCTGAAGCCTGCTTCTAGCTCTATCGGAGAAAGCTCCGGTAATCGACTTCTGGCCAAATTTAGCACATGCGTGAATCGATCCAGGTTACCGCTCTGTGCGTAGGTTTCTGCCCACAATATATGAAATTTGAGAGAGCAGATGAAACGCCCTTGTTCCTCAACTTTCTCAAAAACCTTCGACGCACCCATTCGTCTGCTATGTTTCGCCTGAAGAAAGAATAGAGCAACTGCAACAACAAAGGAGAACTAAGGCATACCATTATCCTATACAAGCGAAGCATATCTTCCTCTGCGGCCAACGTACCATCCGCTAGAATCTGAGCCACCGCCCTCTGCGCTTTCTCTCTAACTTTCAGCGGCATGTAGCTTTCCCACGCTTCCACCTGCCTAAATTAGGAATAAAAAGCGGGTAATTACATCACCGCGACGTTAGAACATGTATCCTACACTTTGTGATAACCGATCCGTTTATACATCACGCTTTTGGAGATTTTATCTGCCAAAAAAGGATGCGGAATTGATAAATCCAATCGATTAGCATCAAATACATCCGGTCAGGGTCAACCGTCGTGTTCGCACTTCTCCAAAAATTTTGCGACCCCTCCCCATAGGGGGGGGGTGCCAATGCGACATTCCCCCCACCACCACTATCACTCTTACAAAGCCCCCCCATACGATACCCCTCCTTCCTACCCGATCACCACCCCCACTATCATGGCTTTTCTATAGTATTTGAATCCAAGACCAGACGACTCACCCAACTCCACCCACTTTTTCTTCCCAGATCGGCCGTTAAGCGGTAAACCCACCAATTTTGTCTACTATGCCCTACTTTCATAAAACTTTCGACAAAAACCTGTCAAATATAACCCCTTTTCACGAACCCCATTCACACTTTTCTCCAGGTAGTTGACCTTTCTACTTTTCTAAACTCCAAAATTCTCCCCCACCCCCTTCCCAAAACCGTAAATGCAACCTCCTCGCTCGAGTAGTGCGAACGCACAGTTGACCCTGCATCCGGTCAGAACATCGAACCCTCAGATCGATTTGTGTAGGAAATCATTCCTGTCAACAGATCCGCCCAATTGCTAAGACGTCACAAATGGGCGCTTCCGTGGACTCTTAGAGGCTCTTACAGCTGTCTCTCAACTCAATATATTCGTAAAATAAACAGCAAAACAGTTGAAAATCGTTAGTGAGAGGAACTTACGAGCAAATCATCTGGAGACCTGCTCGACTCGGCTTCTGCATCACCTCTCTGAAAAAATTGAGTAATACGAAATAGAGAGAAACAAACGAAAAAAATAAAAATGGAAACTCACTTCAGAAGCAAATTGAACGAATCCATCTGTGCTCGCCCTCAGAATCTCCGACAAATTAGCAACGACCACAAGGGCAGAATTTCACCAAGGAATGAAACCCACTCGAAGTCCTCAAGTGCTAAGCAGATAAATATTAATGAGGACAATGAATCTGATAACCAGCTCGTTTTGTTGAGAGTGCGTTTAAAATTTGCAGGAGTACCAAATTTAGAACAAAATGTGGTTCTATCGCAAGACCGACGAAGGCATTGCGGCGGCAGGGTTCAATCCGCGTCAAATCTCTTTTTTGTCATAAATGGGAGACGGGGTAGGGAAGGAGAGGAGGAGAGGGTAGGGAGAGAAGGAAAGACTCAGAGCTATGTGAACAATTCTACTTTCCAGAAAATTACGCCCCTCTTGGGCTTAGCCTTGTAGGAACCGAAAATTAGTTTTCGGGCATGCCCACACGACCGCATTTCTAAACACAGGTGTTCAAAACACTTTAAAGATTCAAAAAGATTCAATGGTCAGGACATGGAAGGAATTCATCGCAGAAATTCACCACGGACATTCAGTAATGCGCGGCAAATGAAGATGGCGACATTCAAATGCTTGCTGTTCCCTCGCAATCAACATTATCACTAGAGCATAAATCGGCGACAGAGCGCGCTTGTGAAGCGTTGGATTGCGTGACAAAGATGTGTCGCCATTAACACGTTGACGACATTGCGCGTTTTAGCCTTTCTGAAAGCGTGGGGGCGCGTCCCATCCCGTATCTACGTGTCTACGTGAAAAGAAAATGAGGAATGAATTGAACGGATATTTTCGTAAGGTCCGGAAAACCTCTGCCAAACTAAGAATATTTGGTCATTCTGTAAGCCACGTGGTTTTGGTTATGTTGATGTATGGCCTATAAAATGAACACAAAAACCTGGGAAGAAATCGGCATGTGCGAAAAAATAAATGTAATGGGTGTGGCATACATAGTTGCCACAGTGTCCGACGAGGTGCGAAACGGTGGCATACATAACCGCCGCGCTGTCGTCAGACGTGTCCGAGGGATGGACGATCGATACGTATCTAACGCTGTGCCATCGTTTCGATCGGACGACCGACTATGCATGCACCCTTACTGGCGCGTAAATGTGCCTTCTTCCTGTAGCATATGTGGGATGATTTTTCTAGGCAAAACCTTACGTCTGGGGTCGTACTTCTACTAATTGAGTAGAAGTACGACCCCAGACCTTGAATTTAAAGGCAGCGATTACGATAGATCTCACAGGGGTTCAGAGGGGACGTGATGGTCTCAATAGTACGCCAA